TAAGAGCGAGGAGCGTCGGTGGCTCAGTGGTCAAGCACTTGACTTGCAATCTGCAGGTCCTGGGTTCGAATTCCGCCATGTACCAATGTGTTTTTCGATTTCCGATTTACATATGTACATTTATCCGATGTTCTTACGGTGAAGAAAAACATCGTGATGCTGCACATATCTGAGAAGAAATTCAAAGATATGTGTGAAGTCAACCAACCCGCACTTGGCCAGCATGGTTGACTATGGCCTAATCACCTTTTACTCAGGGTGGGCTCCGAGCCCCTCGGTGGGAACGTATAGTGAGCTGATGATTATGATGATAATGACATTTAAGATCAGACCTACGTCCCAAATTTTGAGCAGATCTTTTCACAAAAGTCTTCCTTTAACAGAAGGAGGTATTTGTTCCGTAAGCGTGCGGAGGGAGATGTATGTGTGCGCGGTGGCAGGTGGCGGAGGTCCTGTCGCTGGAGCTGCCACGGCTTTCCATCAACGGCTGGTTCCACGGTCCCGCGCCCTCGCCCACGCGCGCCTCCCCCTCCCCCTCCCCCTCCCCCGCGCCGCCAGCCCCCGTCCCGGGAGCGCCCGTGCCGCCGCACTCGGAGCTGCTGCCGCTGAGCGAGTGGGTGCAGCCGGCGTACCTGAAGCCGCGGGTGCGCGCGCAGGTGCAGGCGCAGATGGAGAGCGCCAGCGAGGTCAGCCTGCACGACCTGCTGCTGCCGGACAAGTACCGCGACCTGCTCGACGCGCTCGACCACCCAGGTGCGTCTCCCGCTATATCTATTCCTAGGTGAAGGGATACAGATGAGGTGGCGACGGATCGGCAGTGAGGTGCGGTTGTGTGTCGGCAGATGTGCAGTGGGAGGAGGCGGGGCCGGCGGAGCAGCGGCGCTACCGGCGCGTGTCGGCGAGCTGGGCGGCGGGCGAGGGCGGCGGCGCGGTGCGCGAGCTGCTGCGGCTGGCGGGCAGCGCGGCCTTCGTGCGGCTGCTGGCCGAGTGCACCGACCTGCAGCTGGCCGGCTACACGCGCCTCGAGCTGCAGCAGTGGCGCCCCGGGGACTTCACCGTGAGTTGCGCGCACTAGCGGCGGCTCGGGGGCGAGCTATCTACTACCTGCCCCTGCCCCTACCTACTGACGGGTGCGTGTGTGCAGCTGCTGCCGGGCCGGGCGGAGTACGGGCGCGCGCGGCTGGAGGCGCTGCTGTACTGCGGCGTGGCGCGGCGGGTGTGCGGCGGCGGCACCACC